TTTGTTCTGTAGAAAGCAGTGGATATGGTGCTTGCATTCTAGGAGAAATAAAGACTTACGCTGTCTTTTCAGCCAGTAATTTAGGAATCTGGGATTTAACAGTCAACTCACATAGAAAAGTCCAAACACAGTTATACAACCAATGAGTTTTAGATACACTGACCAATATGTGTGTGTGTGTGTGTGTTATGTATGCATTTTTCTCTCTGGCTAAATCAGTAAGTGACATGTCATTTCAACTCTCATTGTGGAAGTTGTTTTTTTAAGTTGTACAGACACACAGGCAGGGTCTACACTGCCCTAAGTAGCACAGGTCAATGAAGCAGCTAGGGTGTTCCTTGATCTAACTTGCTAAACCACATTGCCAGACAGCTTCTGCACAGTGTACCAACCTTGGTTCAACAGCCATACTTACTCAAGCTACCCAAAATGTTCGTCTAATCTTGCAGAACGCAGTTTTAGTTCCTTTGAGAAAGACTCAGAAGCTAAACTGTCTGTTCAGCATAACCCACGTGATGGCACTAGAAGACCAGACAGAATATATGGTTCTAAACTGGGCTTGGCACACAGGTAGGTACATGCTTTGGCTACTTTCAAAAGTTAAGCTTTCTCCAGCTTGTCTTAGTATGGTCTTTCTTTCCAAATAGGAAAGCAAGCTAGGAGTTTGGGCTGAACCCTGAATTCAAAATATAGTGATAATAAGTCTTGTCTTTTGTCTCTGGAGATCCCCGATATTCACCAAAGTCAAAGTCTTCACATAAAGCTTCTCAGAGCTATCAGAGCATGCCAAAGCACGTTTTCTCACAAGCCGAATTAGATATGCCTGGGCCTAGTATCAAGAATGTCCTTGGAAGTTTAGATTCCCATGGCAGTGGGCACAGTGACAAGTTTAGAAAAGGTTTCCTTTTGGAACATGAACTTTTGATGTTCCTGAGAAGCAGCAGCCATATGGTGATACAGAAACACAGAAATTAAATGGTTCAGGTTAAGATTCTGTCTGTATCAATTAATCATTTGGATGGTACTCCCCAAGATCTGGCACAGACCTAAGCAGAAACATCACACTTATTAGTAACATAATTTCATTGTATAAACCAGTCCATGTTTTTCAGCAGCTAAGTGCCCCTCTTCACTCTAATTCACTTGAGTCTCCAGTACGAAAAGTGCTTGGACCATTTGACTGCTGTTCATATAACAATCTACCAAAAGCAGCTAAACCTGAAAAAATGTAGACACATACACACACAAAAAATAAAATCCTATTTCCTTACATTTAGAAAGATCATATCCATTTTTTCCACACAGCTGCCTATAAACTCAAAAGCTATTTTAATGTAATTATATTTAATCAAATTATGATTTTCATTTGCTGCAAGTACAGGCAACAATATAATAACACAGAAACTGATTCACAGTGGAACATATACAAGTGTCACTTTCTCTACATATTATACAATTAGTACACTAAATCCTGTGTACATCATTGAATATGTAAATTGATATCTTCTACTTGAAATCAGATTCTTACAAACAGCTTTAGTTCTTACAAAAACTACTCATTGTTTCAAGAAATTTCATACAATGGTCTGTGATTTTATTTACTTTGAAAAAAAACCCTGCTCTTATAACCAAAAGTAAAAAAAAAAAAAAAAAAAAAAAAAAAAAAAAAAAAAAGAAAAAAAAAAGAAAAAAGAAAAAAAGAAAGAAATACATTAAGCAATTGTAGAAGCAAACCAACCCAACTGGGGCACCACGACCAAAGCAAGCCCTGTAATAGTATAATGACCTTTAATGAGTGTCTGGGGAAACAATACAGTCCTAGCATAAAAGACAAAGGGCAAAACCCATCATGGCTCCACTGACACTAATTCAAAATGATTTTCAGAACAACTAAAGAATGTAAGAGAGGTAATCTGATCCACCAATCTGACCTCACTTTGATTCTGGGGCCCTGCTGCTGCCATTTCTAATTGTTAAACACTCTACATTTCACATCTGCTCATATTTAATGAAAAGCTGACTCTCACCGCCATTCTTTGAGTTAACTAGCTCTGTCAAGATGGGCATCATACGACCCCTGTACGCTGCAAAGAAAATACACTGATTTCTATTGAAGCCTTGCCAGTGAAACACTGCATGTGTATATATATATATTTTAATTGGAAAAGAAAGGCTTATGCTGCTTTGCAAAGAGCATGAATTGGTATTGATTTTTGTACTTACTATTAACAGTCAAAGATGACTAGTCTCACAAGGGCAAGAGTGAGATCTCTTTTGATTTGATGGAGTGATGAAGAGGGGAACAGGCCCTTGAAAGATAGGATGCTAAAAATCCTCAAAGATGTCAATATCACTTATCCTTCAAAATACAACATAGATCTAACGTGTTTCCCAACAGTATTGTTTTTGGTGGCAATAATACCATTATTGTGGAGGTTCTTGGCTCAGCAGGCAACACAATCAAAAATGTTTACTTTAGCTGCCTCTGCAGAGTCTTAAGTGAACTTGAAAGCTACGGTAAACCTACAAATTACGGTTTTTCTTTCCCTGCCAAACAGTGCTAATGGCAGAAATTTTACCCATTTGTAGGGGACATACTCATTTAGCCTGGTGTGGTTGCTGTTAACACCAGTGCCGGGACCCAACCACATATTCTCTGTACTAGTCTGTATTAATGCAAACTATACCAGGCACTGTGTTACTGAGGCTGTTAGGCTGTGTAAGTAACACTGCCTGCAGTAATTCTCAATCCAGGAAGGTTTCTTGTTCACTTTTCTTAACAAAATATATTTTGCTATGTTTTACTCTGATAAAGGTCTCTTTAAAGGATAAAAACTCCTGTAACTTAGAATACGACTTAAAACTCGGAACCATCTCCCCAGAGGTGATGATGCATGAGTTGCAACCAGGTAGATAAAAAAGACATTCAGAGTGCATTCAGACACATATACAGAGAGAAGATTTCTGGCAAAATCTCTAAGAAATCCTATGAGAATCAGTTTACTTGACAGAGTCATCAGAAAAAAATGCTAATAAAAATCATAGTATTGTTATATACTCTACATTTGTGACTGGAAAAATAGTTCAAACGTCAAAATAGTTAAAGCAAAGTCATTCACCACTTAGACTACATAGTGCAATACACATATGGTATCAAAAGGCAACCAGATGCATAATCTATGAACTACATTATACTCTTAGTAGTGGAAGACATTTTTATCTGTGATGACTTGTAATGTTAGGCGGACATGCTTCCTGATCAAAACTCCTAATGTTCCTTATAGATGTATCTGAAAAATTTTATAGGGGTTTTTTGCCATTCAGGTAGGGAAA